GCCTAGTAGTGAGGCCCTAGTAGTGAGGCCCTGGTAGTGAGGGCCTAGTAGTGAGGGCCGAGTAGTGAGGGCCTAGTAGTGAGGGCGTAGTAGTGAGGGCGTAGTAGTGAGGGCCTAGTAGTGGGGGCTTAGTAGTGAGGGCCTAGTAGTGAGGGCTTAGTAGTGAGGGCCTAGTAGTGGGGGCTTAGTAGTGAGGGCCTAGTAGTGAGGGCCTAGTAGTGAGGCCCTTGTAGTAGTATAGTAGTATTTATTAGTATTTAATATTGTCGCATACACATTATATACAGTAGATCCATATGTTCCTCCAGCAGATGGTCACCACAGCATTATTATAAAATGACGGTCCAGTTTGTGCAGTTCTTCTGTTGCCGAGTGCGTCTGAGGAGAAGCTAAATTTAGACGGAAATGTGCAGAAGTGACGAGGAGAGAACGCCCCTTTTCTCCAGTCGCTCTGGTTTACTGCACACGTTTCACAGATTCTACCAAAAAGGACAAACTTTGTGACATTTATTTTTTAAATATATTTTGGTACCGATTGCTCTCCCGTTGCAGACCCAGAAAGACCAGGGTTGTTATGAATGTTTTGGAGCCTGCTCGGTCTATCCTCTCTATATCCTCCATAGATTTTAACACTAGAAACTCTCAGAGGAGTCAATTTGACGGATTTTTGTTTAAGAGTTTGAAGTTTGATTCATTCAGGACAACGTGCAGCTACATTAAAAAGATGCTGCACCAGATTTAGCACCAGCTTCTTTGACAATACAATCATAAAACTTACATAATAATATACAATTCAAAAGTGCAGGTTACTAAAATTAAAATTAAATCAAAATAAAAGTGGTAAAGTAAAGTTTTAGAAGTGTAAATGTCTGGCTTATGTGCGTTTTTGGTTTTAAAAAAGTGTATTTCTGTCATTGTGTTTTTTCTGAATTGATCTCGATCCTTCTCTGGTTCAGAGTGGAGCTGGTTACCATAGCAACTCACTGTTTACTAGCATCAGTTAGCATTTGGTTTTGTTGTATTTCCTTCATTTTAACCAGTTTTACCACATATTAAGGACAAACACTGTAGTAATTACTTAACTTGAATAAAACTAGTGAAAAACTAAAACTTTTTTGGGGGGGATTTTTCCAGTACTTTCAGAATTCTGGGAGTCCCGGTGATGCTAGCTCCAAGACCGTTAGCCCAAGATCACAAACAATGCATGCAAGTGCCTTTCTTTTGCGAGGAAGTTAAAAGCAAATGTATTGATTTACGTTTGGTCAAGCTGAAGTCGCCTGAATGATGTCACTAGATCCTGAACTCTAAAAACTGAGAAAAACCAATGCTAACGCTGGAAGAGAGAGAGAGAGACGGAGTGGTTAGCTAATGAGATTTTTAGCCGTTAGCTGTTGGAAGTTGGCTCCTGTTTGGTTCTGTATCGAAGCCTCAAGGTTGAATTTTGTGTGAAAGTCTTAATAAAGTATGGGGGAAATATTTATGGTAGAATTTTACAGTGTGCTCAAAGGCTTTTCTGAAATGAGAACTAGGAAGGTAGGTTATAAAACTATAACTGTACTAACTGGTCACGTACTGTATTAACCTGAATGATATCCAACCAACGCTAGCTTAGCCTGGTCTGGCACATGTTTGTGATGTCACTGCTGAGGTCTATTGACACATAGCGAGCCTAGTGGTCAACAGAAATGGGTCGTTGCATGTTTTTTTGATTTTAAGGTAGTATTGTGGGGGGAAAAAATCTGTTTTTTAAGAAGTCTGGAATTTTAATTTGGAAAAAGAGCAAGCACCCTGTAAGATGAAATATGGAGAGAGGGAGTTTGCTGATGCATTGTGGGATTGGTTGGCGACACTGATGAGATGCAAACATGTACAGACTGTTTTCTCAGTCCGCACACGATTCTCAGTCCCTGTAATAGACTCTCTGTGTAACGACTTTCATGTTATCACTGTCATTACGATGCAAATGTCCGGCCCTCGGCTCTGAAAGGACTCTCAGAACCCAGGAGCCCAAATAGAAAAAGTCTGTGGATTGAAATGAACGGTTTATTTATCACCGGCAACAATTACACGGCTCTAAATGAACCTGCGACAGACGGCGGTTATTCCACCACAGAAGCAAAAATAACATTTCTATTGTGTTTGGAATCAATGGAAACACTGAGGAAATGAACTGCTTTAATCAACCTTGAGTTATCCATTCATAAACTCTGCTCCATGGTCCTACATGTACGTCTGGTCTTACCATGTGTAAACTCTGGTCCATGGTCCTACATGTACGTCTGGTCTTACCATGTGTAAACTCTGGTCCATGATCATCTCCTACATGTACGTCTGGTCTTACCATGTGTAAACTCTGGTCCATGATCATTTCCTACATGTACGTCTGGTCTTACCATGTGTAAACTCTGGTCCATAATCATCTCCTACATGTACGTCTGGTCTTACCATGTGTAAACTCTGGTCCATGATCATTTCCTACATGTACGTCTGGTCTTACCATGTGTAAACTCTGGTTCATGGTCATTTCCTACATGTACGTCTGGTCTTACCATGTGTAAACTCTGGTCCATGATCATTTCCCACATGTACGTCTGGGTCTTACCATGTGTAAACTCTGGTCCATGATCATTTCCTACATGTACGTCTGGTCTTACCATGTGTAAACTCTGGTTCATGGTCATTTCCTACATGTACGTCTGGTCTTACCATGTGTAAACTCTGGTCCATGATCATTTCCCACATGTACGTCTGGTCTTACCATGTGTAAACTCTGGTCCATGAACATCTCCTACATGTACGTCTGGTCTAACCATGTGTAAACTCTGGTCCATGATCATTTCCTACATGTACGTCTGGGTCTTACCATGTGTAAACTCTGGTCCATGGTCCTACATGTACGTCTGGTCTTACCATGTGTAAACTCTGGTCCATAATCATCTCCTACATGTACGTCTGGTCTTACCATGTGTAAACTCTGGTCCATGATCATCTCCTACATGTACGTCTGGTCTTACCATGTGTAAACTCTGGTCCATGATCATCTCCTACATGTACGTCTGGTCTTACCATGTGTAAACTCTGGTCCATGATCATCTCCTACATGTACATCTGGTCTTACCATGTGTAAACTCTGGTCCATGATCATTTCCTACATGTACGTCTGGTCTTACCATGTGTAAACTCTGGTTCATGGTCATTTCCTACATGTACGTCTGGTCTTACCATGTGTAAACTCTGGTCCATGGTCCTACATGTACGTCTGGTCTTACCATGTGTAAACTCTGGTCCATAATCATCTCCTACATGTACGTCTGGTCTTACCATGTGTAAACTCTGGTCCATGATCATCTCCTACATGTACGTCTGGTCTTACCATGTGTAAACTCTGGTCCATGATCATCTCCTACATGTACGTCTGGTCTTACCATGTGTAAACTCTGGTCCATGATCATCTCCTACATGTACATCTGGTCTTACCATGTGTAAACTCTGGTCCATGATCATTTCCTACATGTACGTCTGGTCTTACCATGTGTAAACTCTGGTTCATGGTCATTTCCTACATGTACGTCTGGTCTTACCATGTGTAAACTCTGGTCCATGATAATTTCCCACATGTACGTCTGGGTCTTACCATGTGTAAACTCTGGTCCATGGTCATTTCCTACATGTACGTCTGGTCTTACCATGTGTAAACTCTGGTCCATGAACATCTCCTACATGTACGTCTGGTCTAACCATGTGTAAACTCTGGTCCATGATCATTTCCTACATGTACGTCTGGTCTTACCATGTGTAAACTCTGGTCCATGGTCATTTCCTACATGTACGTCTGGTCTTACCATGTGTAAACTCTGGTCCATGATCATTTCCTACATGTACGTCTGGTCTTACCATGTGTAAACTCTGGTCCATGGTCATTTCCTACATGTACGTCTGGTCTTACCATGTGTAAACTCTGGTCCATGAACATCTCCTACATGTACGTCTGGTCTTACCATGTGTAAACTCTGGTCCATGGTCATTTCCTACATGTACGTCTGGTCTTACCATGTGTAAACTCTGGTCCATGAACATCTTCTACATGTACGTCTGGTCTTACCATGTGTAAACTCTGGTCCATGATCATTTCCTACATGTACGTCTGGTCTTACCATGTGTAAACACTGGTCCATGATCATTTCCTACATGTACGTCTGGTCTTACCATGTGTAAACTCTGGTTCATGGTCATTTCCTACATGTACGTCTGGTCTTACCATGTGTAAACTCTGGTCCATGGTCCTACATGTACGTCTGGTCTTACCATGTGTAAACTCTGGTCCATAATCATCTCCTACATGTACGTCTGGTCTTACCATGTGTAAACTCTGGTCCATGATCATCTCCTACATGTACGTCTGGTCTTACCATGTGTAAACTCTGGTCCATGATCATCTCCTACATGTACATCTGGTCTTACCATGTGTAAACTCTGGTCCATGATCATTTCCTACATGTACGTCTGGTCTTACCATGTGTAAACTCTGGTTCATGGTCATTTCCTACATGTACGTCTGGTCTTACCATGTGTAAACTCTGGTCCATGGTCATTTCCTACATGTACGTCTGGTCTTACCATGTGTAAACTCTGGTCCATGGTCATTTCCTACATGTACGTCTGGTCTTACCATGTGTAAATTCTGGTCCATGAACATCTCCTACATGTACGTCTGGTCTTACCATGTGTAAACTCTGGTCCATGATCATTTCCTACATGTACGTCTGGTCTTACCATGTGTAAACTCTGGTCCATGGTCATTTCCTACATGTACGTCTGGTCTTACCATGTGTAAACTCTGGTCCATGAACATCTCCTACATGTACGTCTGGTCTTACCATGTGTAAACTCTGGTCCATGAACATCTCCTACATGTACGTCTGGTCTTACCATGTGTAAACTCTGGTCCATGATCATTTCCTACATGTACGTCTGGTCTTACCATGTGTAAACGCTGGTCCATGATCATCTCCTACATGTACGTCTGGTCTTACCATGTGTAAACTCTGGTCCATGATCATCTCCTACATGTACGTCTGGACTATGGCTCTGGCAGAAGTCGGGCCAAAGTTTTCATCACTCTACTCTACCACAGTCTTCATCATTCTACTCTACCATAGTCTTCATCATTCTACCACAGTCTTCATCACTCTACCACAGTCTTCATCATTCTACCACAGTCTTCATCACTCTACCACAGTCTTCATCATTCTACCACAGTCTTCATCATTCTACTCTACCATAGTCTTCATCACTCTACCACAGTCTTCATCATTCTACTCTACCATAGTCTTCATCATTCTACCACAGTCTTCATCATTCTACCACAGTCTTCATCATTCTACTCTACCATAGTCTTCATCATTCTACCACAGTCTTCATCATTCTACCACAGTCTTCATCACTCTACCACAGTCTTCATCATTCTACCACAGTCTTCATCACTCTACCACAGTCTTCATCACTCTACCACAGTCTTCATCACTCTATCACAGTCTTCATCACTTCATCACTCTACCACAGTCTACATCACTCTACCACAGTCTTCATCATTCTACCACAGTCTACATCACTCTACCACAGTCTTCATCATTCTACCACAGTCTTCATCACTCTACAACAGTCTTCATCACTCTACTCTACCACAGTCTTCATCACTCTACCACAGTCTACATCACTCTACCACAGTCTTCATCATTCTACCACAGTCTTCATCACTCTACCACAGTCTTCATCACTCTACCACAGTCTTCATCACTCTACCATAGTCTTCATCATTCTACCACAGTCTTCATCACTCTACCAGAGTCTTCATCACTCTACCACAGTCTTCATCACTCTACCACAGTCTTCATCACTCTACCACATTCTTCATCATTCTACCACAGTCTTCATCACTCTACCACAGTCTTCATCACTCTACCACAGTCTTCATCACTCTACCACAGTCTTCATCACCCTACCACAGTCTTCATCACTCTACCACAGTCTTCATCACTCTACCACAGTCTTCATCACTCTACCACAGTCTTCATCACTCTACCACAGTCTTCATCAATCTACCACAGTCTTCATCACTCTACCACAGTCTTCATCACTCTACCACAGTCTTCATCATTCTACCACAGTCTTCATCACTCTACCACAGTCTTCATCATTCTACCACAGTCTTCATCATTCTACCACAGTCTTCATCACTCTACTCTACCACAGTCTTCATCACTCTACCACAGTCTTCATCACTCTACCACAGTCTTCATCATTCTACCACAGTCTTCATCACTCTACCACAGTCTTCATCATTCTACCACAGTCTTCATCACTCTACCACAGTCTTCATCACTCTACCACAGTCTTCATCACTCTATCACAGTCTTCATCACTTCATCACTCTACCACAGTCTACATCACTCTACCACAGTCTTCATCATTCTACCACAGTCTACATCACTCTACCACAGTCTTCATCATTCTACCACAGTCTTCATCACTCTACAACAGTCTTCATCACTCTACTCTACCACAGTCTTCATCACTCTACCACAGTCTACATCACTCTACCACAGTCTTCATCATTCTACCACAGTCTTCATCACTCTACCACAGTCTTCATCACTCTACCACAGTCTTCATCACTCTACCATAGTCTTCATCATTCTACCACAGTCTTCATCACTCTACCACAGTCTTCATCACTCTACCACAGTCTTCATCACTCTACCACAGTCTTCATCACTCTACCACATTCTTCATCATTCTACCACAGTCTTCATCACTCTACCACAGTCTTCATCACTCTACCACAGTCTTCATCACTCTACCACAGTCTTCATCACCCTACCACAGTCTTCATCACTCTACCACAGTCTTCATCACTCTACCACAGTCTTCATCACTCTACCACAGTCTTCATCACTCTACCACAGTCTTCATCACTCTACCACAGTCTTCATCATTCTACCACAGTCTTCATCACTCTACCACAGTCTTCATCATTCTACCACAGTCTTCATCACTCTACCACAGTCTTCATCATTCTATCACAGTCTTCATCACTTCATCACTCTACCACAGTCTACATCACTCTACCACAGTCTTCATCATTCTACCACAGTCTACATCACTCTACCACAGTCTTCATCACTCTATCACAGTCTTCATCACTTCATCACTCTACCACAGTCTACATCACTCTACCACAGTCTTCATCATTCTACCACAGTCTACATCACTCTACCACAGTCTTCATCATTCTACCACAGTCTTCATCACTCTACAACAGTCTTCATCACTCTACTCTACCACAGTCTTCATCACTCTACCACAGTCTACATCACTCTACCACAGTCTTCATCATTCTACCACAGTCTTCATCACTCTACCACAGTCTTCATCACTCTACCACAGTCTTCATCACTCTACCATAGTCTTCATCATTCTACCACAGTCTTCATCACTCTACCACAGTCTTCATCACTCTACCACAGTCTTCATCACTCTACCACAGTCTTCATCACTCTACCACATTCTTCATCATTCTACCACAGTCTTCATCACTCTACCACAGTCTTCATCACTCTACCACAGTCTTCATCACTCTACCACAGTCTTCATCACCCTACCACAGTCTTCATCACTCTACCACAGTCTTCATCACTCTACCACAGTCTTCATCACTCTACCACAGTCTTCATCACTCTACCACAGTCTTCATCAATCTACCACAGTCTTCATCACTCTACCACAGTCTTCATCACTCTACCACAGTCTTCATCATTCTACCACAGTCTTCATCACTCTACCACAGTCTTCATCATTCTACCACAGTCTTCATCATTCTACCACAGTCTTCATCACTCTACTCTACCACAGTCTTCATCACTCTACCACAGTCTTCATCACTCTACCACAGTCTTCATCATTCTACCACAGTCTTCATCATTCTACCACAGTCTTCATCACTCTACCACAGTCTTCATCACTCTACCACAGTCTGATTATCACAGAGACGGATGACCCTTGTGCAGGCCTTTAATGCTGATGCAAACACACACGTTGCAGAATGAAACATATGGCTTCAATGTAACGAACACGTAGCATAGATTGACAGGAACATATGGTTTCTCACAGACCAAAGTCCAAAGTATGAGAGAGTACAGCTGTGTAATGTTGTAATGTACGTAGGATGCGTCTGTAAGCAGTTTAAAGTACAGGTGTTAGCATCTTTGAAACTCCATGAAAACGTGTCTTTATTAATTAAGAAAAAGTATTTAGATATTCACAGGATACAAGTTTACCATACATCTGTTAAAGTTGTATAACAGATAAACAGTAAGTAAACTTGTATAACACCAGAATAATACTTCATCTTTGTCTTTGTACCTGGAGTAGTAGAAAAATGGGGCTTTTTCGAGAGTTACTGTTAAAACTAGTTCTACTTCAGATATCTGGACAGAAGCACATTACAAACAAGGTAATTAGTTTATACTTGCATGCAACAAGGAGGAGATGCCTTTCAGCTGCGAAGGAGGCCCAAAAGCAAGTCCTGCTCGATACTCTACAGGCAGCTTATTTATTTCAAAGCAGATAACACACCTTCACACATGGAGAAGCCCAACAAGTAAAACATGAACCACTTGTTGGACCACGTCTTGCAACATAGTTTACACAAAACCCCATTTGTGGACAATGTGGATAATTATTAGCTTGGTTTCAAACACCTCACTTGTCGAGGTGTTGAACCCACTCGGTCAACCCAAAGTCGTTCTAAACTGAATATACTTACATTCACTTTAATAATAACCCAACAACAGTTCCACTACCAGTTACCATTGACAGAACAATGTGCCAAACTGGACTCACCTGGTTCATTCTCTGGTTTTTATGAAAACAGATGAAATGCAAACATCAAACGTGAATTATATGAATTATCACCTATATATAAATGTAAATGTAAAGATGCCTGATTTCAGACTGACCACGCCCCCTCATACTGACCATGCCACCCTCAGACTGACCATGCCACCCTCAGACTGACCACGCCCCCTCATACTGACCATGCCACCCTCAGACTGACCACGCCCCCTCAGACTGACCACGCCACCCTCGTACTGACCACGCCCCCTCGTACTGACCTCGGCACCCTCGGATTGACCACGCCCCCTCATGCTGACCACGCCACCCGCGGACTGACCACACCCACTTCAGAAAGACCACGCCCTCTCAGACTTACCACACCCCCTCAGACTGACCACACCCCCTCATACTGACCACGCCCCCTCGTACTGACCTCGGCACCCTCGGATTGACCACGCCCCCTCATACTGACTACGCCACCCGCGGACTGACCACACCCCCTTCAGACTGACCGCGCCCTCTCAGACTGACCACACCCTCTCAGACTGACCATGCCACCCTCAGACTGACCATGCCACCCTCAGACTGACCACGCCCCCTCAGACTGACCACGCCACCCTCAGACTGACCACGCCCCCTCAGACTGACCACGCCCCCTCAGACTGACCATGCCACCCTCAGACTGACCACGCCCCCTCAGACTGACCACACCCCCTCAGACTGACCACACCCCCCATACTGACCACGCCCCCTCGTACTGACCTCGGCACCCTCGGACTGACCACGCCCCCTCATACTGACTACGCCACCCACGGACTGACCACACCCCCTTCAGACTGACCACGCCCTCTCAGACTGACCACACCCCCTCAGACAGACCACGCCACCCTCAGACTGACCACGCCCCCTCAGACTGACCATGGCACCCTCAGACTGACCACACCCCCTCAGACTGACCACACCCCCTCAGACTGACCACACCCCCTCATTCTGACCACGCCCCCTCAGACTGACCACACCCCCTCAGACTGACCACACCCCCCATACTGACCACGTCCCCTCGTACTGACCACGCCACCCTCGTACTGACCACGCCCCCTCATACTGACTACGCCACCCGCGGACTGACCACACCCCCTTCAGACTGACCACGCTCTCTCAGACTGACCACACCCCCTCAGACTGACCACACCCCCTCAGACAGACCACGCCCCCCTGTTGTCTCTGGAGAAGTGAGTCCCAAGTGTGAGTCAAGGTGAAGGGCCCCTCCTCTCTGTTGATGGTCCCGCTTCCTGAATTCCCTCGTCTCTCGTCTCCATCTGTTGTTTTTATGTTCTTCTGTTCCTACTGTTTTGGAATCATACCGGTCCAGGATGTGAGTGTCACTTTTGGAGTGGTCACATGTTGCCGATCTGAGGTTTTCCTGTGTTGCCTTGTCCTTGGTTGATGTTGTTAGTCGCGCCGCCAAGAGATAGTTTTATGGACAGAACAATAGTAGAGTCTTGGACTTTACACTTTCTCTATCTCTCTCTCACACACACACACACACACACACACACACACACACGCACATACACACACACACAGACACACACACAAACCCATAGACACAGACACACAAACAGACACACACATGTCAGATGAGGACATAGTTACACACCTGTCTCCTGAACACCAACCTCAGCACTTTCTCGCCGCCTCCAGAAATTTGGTGAAACTGCAGAAACTGTCAGCACGGGAATACACACAGATACACACATATACACACAGATACACCCAGACATACAGTACACACATATACACACAGACACACACAGACACACAGATACACAACATACACACACAACACACACAGATACACAACATACACACACAACACACACAGATACACACACACACATATACACACAGATACACACAGATACACAACATACACACACATTTACGAACAGATACAGATACACACACACACATATACACACAGACACAGAACATACACACACATATACACACAGACACACAATATACACACACACACACAGATACACACACATATACACACAGACACACAACACACACGCGCACACACACAGTCTCGCTCACAACACACAGATACACGGTGGCTGAGTGGTTAGCACTCTTGCCTCTCAGCAAGAAGGTCCTGGGTTCGAATCCCGGTCCTGGGTTCGAATGTCGGAACAGGGCCTTTCTGAGTGTAGTTTGCATGTTCTCCCCGTGTCTGTGTAGGTTTCCTCTGGGTGCTCCGGTTTTCCCTACCACTAAAAACATGCACAATAGGTCTGAATGTAAATGAGAGAGTGAATGGATGGTGTTGGGTCAGAGGCTTTGATGGTCCAGTCTGTTCTGGACTCGCTTCTGTCATCACCGTGTGTGGAAGGATTGGAACAATATCTGACTCTGAACATTGTAAAGAGCTTTGGGTCTGTACCTTGTTCTGTAACATGTGCTATATAAATAAACATTACTTATTACTACTTACTTACACACAGTCTGTCTCACTACACACAGATACGCACAGTTACACAGTTTATTTGAGCGTTTGAAAAATACATTACCTTTCATGTCCACTAGGGGGCAGAGACCACAGATACAACAGAATGATCACTATTGGTAACTCTCTTGCTTACAAACCTGCCACAGCCACATTTTTACAGATGTGGTAATATCTGGAGAGCTCGGGGTAGATCCGTCTCTGATCCGAGTGTGTCCCAGTCTGTAATTGTTGAAGACCTGTAGCTTTGTGGCTTTGCTAAATCACCTCCACGGCGACAGAGACGACACTGCCCTTTCTCAAACTTGTGTCGGCGCCGTGTGTTCATGGTCGCGTGGCCTTTTCCCTAATGCTGTCCAGGCTAATGCTGTCCAGGCTAATGCTGTGACCGATGAGACTAGCGTCACCCATACCTACACAAGATGGCCGCCCTTCCTCCCGGCTGCCTCCACCAGTATTTATCAGATAGCTAAAGGTCAGAGTCGTTTGTCGCGTTGGAAATGTGGGGATTGGAGAAGGTACGGCAACATTTAGTCAAAAACAATCAGTAAACGAACTCTTTCATTTGATGCATGTGTTTTATGTTTGACAGAATGATTGACAGTTGGGAGGACCAATAGCCTTGATAATCCACGTGGGAGTAGAAAAACCTCTTATATACCTTTACTATTCTAAAATATACATGTATCTTGCATATATAAATACTTGTATCACTCCTGTCTCTTTTTAATGGAGAGGAAATTGCCTTTATTCAATAATCTCAGACTGAAATGAGAAAGAATATGTCAAAAATACATCCTTTTCATTAGAGGTCTGATAGCCTTCCCCGGTCTATTCCCCCGTCCTCCTTCTCCTCCTTCTCCGTCGGTATTGAGGCCATATTGCTGCGATGTGTTGTGAATATTAAACAGATCAATAACGCTGCGAGTGAAACAGGTTCAGATCACTGAGAATTTTCCATTAGAACAAAATACGTTTCAATTTAAAGCCGTGGCCGGGAACAGGGAGGAGAGAGACCCTGGACGAAGGGATTGCATTTTCCTTTAGTAATGAAACACAGAGGACCGGCTGCACCTTTGCATAGAGTAATGACACTAATCCATTATTATTATTATTATTATATGGACATTTTGGATTCTGGAAATTGTGTTTTTCTTCCTCGATTCGAGAAAGTCCAACGTTATTAAAAAACATGTCAGAATCTGTTTCTCAAATACTGGATGTATATCTTGAAACTAAAACTTAAAAAAGGTGCCTTGCCATCTCCAGGGTTTTCAGTGAGGGAAGGGTGGACTGATGAGGGGAAGTGGGAGCAGCGTCTGCAGTCAGAGCTGTATCAAACTGTTGTGGTGATGAAGAGAGTGGAGTCAAAAGGCAACGCTCTCGTCTCTGCGCCCTCCCTCACCGCACCAGGTTTGGTTATTGATAGACTGGCTGTTCCCTTAGAGATAGGGTGAAGTGCTCAGTCACACTGGAAGAGCTTAGAGTAGAGCCACTGCTCCTCTGTGTGAAGAGGAGCCAGTTGAGGTGGCTTGGACATCATTCCGGATCTCCCCTGGATGTTTCCTTGAGGACAGGGTCGCAGGGTCTCTCAGTCGGCCACAGAACACCTCCTGATTCCCCCAGATGAGCTGGAGGAGGTCTCCTTTGATCTGACAAACACAAAAAATGATATAGTGAACATACAAAAAAAATTGTGCCGCGAAGGCTTACGTCAGGAGCAGTGGTCGCCGTAGTAACAGCGCCCGGTAACCCATCTCTAGATGTTGATGCTCGGCTTGGTCAGGACCAGAGCTGGAGGATTTTACCCAGTGAGCATGTTTTAAGTGGTAGGGGAAACCGGAGTACCCGGAGGAAACCTACGCAGGCACAGGGAGAACAGGCAAACTCCACTCAGAAAGACCCTGTTCCGATCGGGATTCGATCCCAGGACCTTCTTGCTGAAAGGCGAGAGTGCTATCCACTCAACCACCATGCCGTGTTTATTTTTTTATTTTTTTAAGTTTGCAAGTTGTAGTGTTTTTTGCTGTTTTTTGAAAGCGTTTATAGAGTGTGAGTTTCTGAGACTGCGGCGGGAGAGAAGGGGGGAGAGAAGGGGGAGGGGAGGGGGGAGTGAAGGGGGAGGGGAGGGGGGAGTGAGGGGCAGTCCCAGAGGTGAGTGGTGTGTGGAGGAGGAAGTATGGGACATCTCTGCTTACTCTGCTTTGCCTGCTGCCCCCTGACCCAGCACTCCTGGATCATCACTGTCCTTAGACCCTCCTGCATCGGCAAAAGTAACCACTCTAGACCCAGAGAGAGAAACCTCTGGGAGATCCACATTCAGAGAGATCCACTCCCACGGACTCAGGCTGTAGACCCAGGACTGAGGCTGTAGACCAGGACTGAGGCTGTAGACCAGGACTGAGGCTGTAGACCCAGGACTGAGACTGTAGACCCAGGACTGAGGCTGTAGACCCAGGACTGAGGCTGTAGACCCAGGACTGAGGCTGTAGACCCAGGACTGAGGCTGTAGACCCAGGACTGAGGCTGTAGACCAGGACTGAGGCTGTAGACCCAGGACTGAGGCTGTAGACCAGGACTGAGGCTGTAGACCAGGACTGAGGCTGTAGACCCAGGACTGAGGCTGTAGACCAGGACTGAGGCTGTAGACCAGGACTGAGGCTGTAGACCCAGGACTGAGGCTGTAGACCAGGACTGAGGCTGTAGACCAGGACTGAGGCTGTAGACCCAAGACTGAGGCTGTAGACCCAGGACTGAGGCTGTAGACCCAGGACTGAGGCTGTAGACCTAAGACTGAGGCTGTAGACCCAGGACTGAGGTTGGAGACCCAGGACTGAGGTTGTAGACCCAGGACTGAGGCTGTAGACCCAAGACTGAGGCTGTAGACCCAGGACTGAGGCTGTAGACCTAAGACTGAGGCTGTAGACCCAGGACTGAGGCTGTAGACCCAGGACTGAGGCTGTAGACCCAGGACTGCTGTAAGTGACCTGATGTGTGTATGCAATGTGTTGAGGGTGGAAGCTGAAAATACAGATATTAGCATGGATGAAGCTAATGCTAATAAGCTAATGCTATCTGGAACAATGTGTGGCTGAGGTTGGGCACAAACCGAGACTCAGTGAAACAGATCTGGTTTCACTGAAACCAGATCAGTGAAACCAAACCTATGCAGCCACTCAGCACGGTGGCTCCATAGGTTTCCTCCTGGTGCTCCAGTTTCCCCTACCACTAAAATCATGCTCTACGCAAAATCCTCCAGCTCCGGTCCTGACCAAGCCGAGCCCTGACCTAAGCCTTAGCAGCATCAGGGTCAAATGCAGAGGATACATTTTCCTTTGGTATTGATCCTCTCTGTTGAAACTGCAGGGGTCTCTCTCCTCATATTGATCCTCTCTGTTGAAACTGCAGGGGTCTCTCTCCTCAAATGGATCCTCTCTGTTGAAACTGCAGGGGTCTCTCTGATGGATTACAGAGATCGGACACCGGACTTAAGCAGGAGAATGGCTTACACTGCAAAAAATGATAAAGTATGAGGTCATAAAGGCTTGAATCGAGTGGTTTTTATTTTAATCTGACACATCCTGACTAAAAAAAACAGATTCTTCAAAGGGACGGAACCATTTAGTTTTATTTGAAGAACCGTTGCTGTATTTCCTCATTCCAAAGGAGACATTTCTGTATCTGTTTAAAACACGATCCTTTTGTTTTGTTCCGGTGGAGGCTCTGGTTTTAGGCTCAGTCAGAATGTGTCAGATTAAGACACATTGTGCTTTTCTTCCGTCACTTCTTGTAGTGTGTGGTGTAAACGGCTCACTGCAAAAATTGCTACATATGCTCACAATTAAAGTGCTTTAGACTCTGGTCTGTGAAAGGCGCTGTATAAAGATTACTTATTTACCTACTTTAAAGATAGGTCAAAATTTGCTTGAGCTCATTCTGCATAAAACTAGATTTGCAAATGGGACAAAGAACATTCCAACTATACCTTGAAATCTAACCTAAGTTACTGAACAGTAGGAATGTGTTACCATAGCAACATAGCAACACACTGTTTACCATAGCAACATAGTGATTACCATAGCAACACACTGTTTCCCATAGCAACACACTGGTTCCTATAGCAACACCCTGTTTACCTTAGCAACACACTGTTTACCTTAGCAACACACTGTTTACCATAGCAACACACTGTTTACCATTGCAACACACTCTTCACCATAGCAACATAATGTTTACCATAGCAACAGTGTTTACCATAGCAACACACTGTTTACCATTGCAACATACTGTTTACCATAGCAACAATGTTTACCATAGCAACACACTGTTTACCATTGCAACATACTGTCTACCATAGCAACAGTGCTTACCACAGCAACAGTGTTTACCATAGCAACACACTGTTTACCATTGCAACACACTCTTTACCATAGCAACACACTCTTTACCATAGCAACATACTGTTTACCATAGCAACAGTGTTTACCACATCAACAGTGTTTACCATAGCAACATACTGTTTACCACATCAACAGTGTTTACCACATCAACAGTGTTTACCATAGCAACACACTGTTTACCATATCAACAGTGTTTACCATAGCAACATATTGTTTACCATTGCAAAACTCAGAATGGCGACTGCGACACAAACGGTTACTGAGCTTGACCTAAAACTATTCAGCTTAAAAGAAAAACAGTTTTGAGAGCGAGGAACTAGTGAGAAGGAATTTATTATTTCCATTTTATGTGGTTTGAAAGTTACTGCAGTTGATTTGTCCTTAACTGAAACCAAAACAAATCAAAAGGTTCAGGTTAGTTTTACACATGGTCCAGAAAACAAAATGTATTTTAGTGGTGTTTGTAGAAGACCAGGTGCAGAGACCATGGACAGAGACCATGTGCAGAGACCATGGATACTTTTGCTTCAGTGACAGAAAATCCATAAAAGTGAAACAGAGCAGATGAACTCCGACTGTGAGAAGAAGAAAAGGAAAAGTCTTTTATGTTTTAGTAAAACAATTATTAAATCAAATATTTGTTTTGCCCATCTATAATTTGTCTCTCTACCCTCCCTCCTCTCCCCCCGCCCCCTCTCTCTCTCCCTCCTCTCCCCCCGCCCCCTCTCTCTCTCCCCCTCCCTCCCCCAGGACTATCGTGTGAACATCTTCCTGAGGCAGCAGTGGAACGACCCCCGCCTGGCCTACAGCGAGTACCCGGACAACTCCCTGGACCTGGACCCGTCCATGTTGGACTCCATCTGGAAACCGGACTTGTTCTTCGCCAACGAGAAGGGAGCCAACTTCCACGAAGTCACGACGGACAACAAGCTGCTGCGGATCTCCAAGAACGGCAACGTGCTCTACAGCATACGGTGAGAGAAACCCCCCCCCAACGTGCTCTACAGCATACGGTGAGAGAAACCCCCCCTCAACGTGCTCTACAGCATACGGTGAGAGAAACCCCCCTCAACGTGCTCTACAGCATACGGTGAGAGAAACCCCCCTCAACGTGCTCTACAGCATACGGTGAGAGAAACCCCCCTCAACGTGCTCTACAGCATACGGTGAGAGAAACCCCCCTCAACGTGCTCTACAGCATATGGTGAGAGAAACCCCCCCTCAACGTGCTCTACAGCATACGGTGAGAGAAACCCCCCTCAACGTGCTCTACAGCATACGGTGAGAGAAACCCCCTCAACGTGCTCTACAGCATACGGTGAGAGAAACCCCCCTCAACGTGCTCTACAGCATACGGTGAGAGAAACCCCCCTCAACGTGCTCTACAGCATATGGTGAGAGAAACCCCCCCTCAACGTGCTCTACAGCATACGGTGAGAGAAACCCCCCCTCAACGTGCTCTACAGCATACGGTGAGAGAAACCCCCCTCAACGTGCTCTACAGCATACGGTGAGAGAAACTCCCCTCAACGTGCTCTACAGCATATGGTGAGAGAAACCCCCCCTCAACGTGCTCTACAGCATACGGTGAGAGAAACCCCCCCTCAACGTGCTCTACAGCATATGGTGAGAGAAACCCCCCCTCAACGTGCTCTACAGCATACGGTGAGAGAAACCCCCCCTCAACGTGCTCTACAGCATACAGTGAGAGAAACCCCCCTCAACGTGCTCTACAGCATACGGTGAGAGAAACCCCCCTCAACGTGCTCTACAGCATACGGTGAGAGAAACCCCCCTCAACAAGCTCTACAGCATACGGTGAGAGAAACCCCCCCTACGTGCCCTACAGCATACGGTGAGAGAAACCCCCCTCAACGTGCTCTACAGCATACGGTGAGAGAAACCCCCCTCAACGTGCTCTACAGCATACAGTGAGAGAAACCCCCCCCAACGTGCTCTACAGCATACGGTGAGAGAAACCCCCCTCAACGTGCTCTACAGCATATGGTGAGAGAAACCCCCCCTCAACGTGCTCTACAGCATATGGTGAGAGAAACCCCCCCTCAACGTGCTCTACAGCATACGGTGAGAGAAACCCCCCTCAACGTGCTCTACAGCATATGGTGAGAGAAACCCCCCCTCAACGTGCTCTACAGCATATGGTGAGAGAAACCCCCCCTCAACGTGCTCTACAGCATACGGTGAGAGAAACCCCCCTCAACGTGCTCTACAGCATATGGTGAGAGAAACCCCCCCTACGTGCTCTACAGCATACGGTGAGAGAAACCCCCCTGAACGTGCTCTACAGCATACGGTGAGAGAAACCCCCCTCAACCTGCTCTACAGCATATGGTGAGAGAAACCCCCCCTCAACATGCTCTGCAGAATACGGTGAGAGAAACCCCCCCTCAACATGCTCTACAGCATACGGTGAGAGAAACCCCCCCTACGTGCTCTACAGCATACGGTGAGAGAAACCCCCCTCAACGTGCTCTACAGCATACGGTGAGAGAAACCCCCCTCAACGTGCTCTACAGCATACGGTGAGAGAAACCCCCCTCAACGTGCTCTACAGCATACGGTGAGAGAAACCCCCCTCAACGTGCTCTACAGCATACGGTGAGAGAAAACCCCCTCAACGTGCTCTATAGCATACGGTGAGAGAAAACCCCCTCAACGTGCTCTACAGCATACGGTGAGAGAAACCCCCCTACGGCAACATGCTCTAGAGCATACGGTGAGAGAAACCCCCCATGAAGTATTATTATTTAAAACTAGTAAAATAACCTTACATGACAAACTACCATTCAAGCAACAAAACTGCATCAAAAATAAGCATAATATATATTTTTAGTAAATAAATCTGACCAAGATTGTACCACCTCTGCTCCACACTGTCCTTGAGCCCAGACGCAGACGCAGGAGGTGTTGTGTTTGTAGCTCATTCGTCCGGACGCCTCCATAAAAACGTATACTTTACATAAAACTCAGAGAAAGTCATAAATTAGACCCAAAAACTCAAACTTTTGAATTGTGTTCGGTTTTTCTCTCGGCGCCGGAGAAGAAGCAATAAAACTGTGATGGATGTGGAGGATTTTTACACTTTTATATCGTCTCCATCTCTGACAGGCTCCATCACAGACACAGCTGCAGCTCCTCAGACACAGCTGCAGCTCCTCAGACACAGCCGCAGCTCCTCAGACACAGCTGCAGCTCCTCAGACACAGCTGCAGCTCCTCAGACACAGCCGCAGCTCCTCAGACACAGCTGCAGCTCCTCAGACACAGCTGCAGCTCCTCAGACACAGCTGCAGCTCCTCAGACACAGCCGCAGCTCCTCAGACACAGCTGCAGCTCCTCAGACACAGCCGCAGCTCCTCAGACACAGCTGCAGCTCCTCAGACACAGCCGCAGCTCCTCAGACACAGCCGCAGCTCCTCAGACACAGCCGCAGCTCCTCAGACACAGCCGCAGCTCCTCAGACACAGCTGCAGCTCCTTCTCTCTGCAGTTTCCTCGGTTGAATCCCCTCCGACCAATCAGACAGCGGGGGAGGCGGGTGTTGTAGGTCGGTGTCGGTGACGTCAAGAGTTTGTGCTGAATTTGCAGGTTGTAGTTTGTCGGAGAATGCGATAGTAAAATAATCTGTTCTGGTTCAATCCAAATATCAAGAAACTGAAGCCGGAGCAAGAGGAATGTTTAGTAAATGTTATTGAAGCAAAGATGTTGTGGCTCTACTCCCCACGGGCTCCGGTAGTGGCAAAGGAGATGGCTAAAGCTAGGCTAATGCTAAAGCTAGGCTAAATGCTAACAACTCACTCGGGCTCATTACATACGTCACAGTAAACTCAGATCCAATAGTTTCAATCTGCAAAAGGGGTTAGCCCCTCCCACCTGTTAACGGAGTCAATGGAGACAATCCAGACCTGAGTATGAAATGAAATGAGTACCATGGTGTGGTAAGACCAGGTTGTACTTCCTGGGAAACAGTTGGAGACACCAGAGCTAACCACTGCACCACTCCTCAGTATTCCCGCCGCGCCCCTCGTTCTTATCTCATCTTTTCATTCGTAGAAAAACCAAAAAACGATTCTTTTTTTCCATCGACTTTTCCTCATTTTTGACGTTTGCAAAATGAGCCGAGGATAAGAGCGTCTGGGGCAGAAAGGAGCAGAGGGCCCGGTGTTTACGGCTT